ATAAATATTTTAAATAAAGAACAAGGGGGAAAGAAGATTGCTCCTTATGTTTCAAAATAAATGATGTTCAGATACTTGAAGCTTATCTAAGGAAAGAAAGGATTACCTGTGGAATTTACCAAGAAGAAAAATCAATAAAAAAAAATTACGCGGGAAGATTATTCACATAGCTTGTTTGATTATCGATTGAGCCTTTACAGTAAAATAAATAAAATTGATAACTTTGAACCTTTATAAATAATTTTTTACTAATATAAATAAAGCAAACTCTCTGACGGGCTATTAATTGAGTGTTTGGAAATACAATCGCAGAAAGATTATTCACGGCTTGTTTGTTATTGAGACTTTACATTTTAAATCTTTGATATATATTAATGTGTAACATAAAAAATCCACACATAGTAATTTTCTATTACTATATTGACAACCATTGTGACTTCTCCTTCATCAATTTTGTCACAATTTAATACTTCAAGCGAATATCTAATGCTTTCTGTTGTATATCAGGATCTAAAATTGTATATTAAAAAAATAATATTAAAAATTGAAAATTTGGACAGAAATTGTAGTTACATATGAAATCTTTTCGTGAAAACGATCTATGTCAAATTCTTTGTCAACTGTATTAATACCTTATCATTGTCATTATTATCATCATCGGGACTACTATCAAGACTATCTTCGGATCTGTCTCTATACTATAATAAGATATCACAAAATTAATCTACAACCTACTTAACTCGCTCTCTATTTAATGACATTTGAAATAGAAGAATACAACATTACCACTGAAAGCTCTACATAAATCAGGTGATTCAATAATCACACAATTAGGATTAACATTCTATGTCTTTGAGTTAAAAGATATAAATGGAGTATCATGACTAAAAATAATAATCTGGTTTGCTTTTTCCAAATTTAATATGATTTGTTATCACTAGAACCCAATCTGTTATTATACAATAAATTATTTTAATAATTTATTGTAAACAAATTAACCCGCAAAACATTATCATACTTTTATCTTTGGTAGTAAATTTTTTAATAAAGCCACATACTAATGTGTGACCATCAATATTGACTCATGATGTTTTGTTTCTTTAATAAAATGAAATAAATAAAATATGTTAGAATGCTGGATCCTTTTTTAAAAAATGGTATGTTAAATTAATAAAGCCAATAATCAGATTTAAAAGTATTTAAATGATGTTCTTATTTCTTCAGTCAAGTTCTTCTGAGATCAACAAATCTTTCACTTTCTACTCGATTAAGACTTCCAAGACTAAGCTTTGTATACAAAACTAATCCCTCAGAAATCAACGAACCTTTCGTACCCATAAACACAGTCTACTATTGTTTTTGTTACTAAATATTTCTTGAATTAGACCTAGAAACCACATTTTATGGTATCCTGCCGGCTAAGATCTCAGGAGAAGCTTATCTTTTTTTTTTGAGTATCATCATTATATTTATCAATAATCATGTATATAAAAAAGCATTATGCTAATAGTGGAAATTGTCTCCTGTAGTTCTTGAGAATTTATTTTATCGAATTCAGTTAACTATCTGTTGTCTTTTCCCAAATCTTTTATTATAATATTTACATAATGATTTTGTGTTTTCTTTTATTTTAATAGTTTCAAAGAATATAGCCTTGAGAAAAATAAATCATAATTTCTCTTTCACAACTAGTTCTATTAAGTAATGCAACGAGGATTTCTCTTTGTTTCGAAATTACAGATATTTTTGTTATTAAAATTTTTTTTATATTAATTAATATATATATATATATAGTTACTATATTATCTTGTATAGGAAATCTTAGGATTTGGTTTTAGCAATGGCTCTTGTAGTTGAATACACGATAAGTCGACCAAAATTTTCACCCCATTTTCTTTTTAATTTAATTCGATAAGTCGGTCATATGAGCTCACCCACACATGACTGACTTATTGAGTTACATATCTGTTATGGTGCACGACACCTAGTCCCTACAACTTTCTGCGCCACAGCGACAGATTTGGGAAAAAATTCACGATCAAAAATGCAATAAAATTTTTACAGTCACGTGCTTTAAAAATAGATTTGTCACGTTGCATTCTTTTTATTAGTATCACGTGATAAAAGATCTGCAATACAGATTTCAAATTTTTCAATTCTTCCATTTATAATATATATAAAAAATTTGCGCGTGACACGTCACTTTGGGGGATTAACATAGTAAATTTGTTAAAATTGTGCAACTTTAAGGCTTAATTCCCCCACAAAAACATGGCATATCAACAAAATGAAAATGTCATTTTGTAGAAAAAGGTCTTAGCTTCAAAATGTCATCTTGTTTTTTTTGGTCACACATTTCCATTTTTGGAGGAGTTAAAGGATTTGCAAGGCTAATAAAAGTTGTAGGGACTAGGTGTCCTGCACTATACCTGATTCTATTTGACTATTTTAATTTTCGTGTCATCCATACAAATGGTGTTTTGTACGCGCATCACGTACCTCCTTTTTTTTTATTCTTCAAATTTAAAACAAAATGAAAAAAAAAGGTTTGTTGATATAAAGGGTTTCAACAATTAATTTGTTTGTTTTTAAATGTCTAATACATTATCTAAATTTAAAATATAACATATGGAAAGGTTGACAAGGGTAAAAAGGTTAACAAGGACATAGAAGTTGAAAAGGTTAAAGAGGTTGACAAGGTTAAAAATATTAGAGATAACTCGATCACTTTTAGAATTAGAAGATTTAAAGAAAATCTTGCAATGCATCGTAAACAATTAGTAATTGATGTTTTACACCCCAACGAACCCAGTTTAACAAATAGTGAAATTCGAACCCAAATTTGTTAAAATGTTTGGAGTCAACAAAGATGTTGTCTTTGTATTGCTATGAGAACTACATATGATGGAAATCGCTCTAATGGGTTTGCATTAATATACGAAAATGCTAAATTTGCTAAAAAATATGAACCTCGACACAGGGTTAAAAAAGTAAACAATTTTTTTTATTGTTAGAAATAATTAATATATAATTTATTGACTACTTATTGATTATATTTATTGATTAATTAGCATGGTATTAAACCACCTGTACTACCTCCTAAAAAACATTGTAAGAAACCAATCAAATATAGAAAAAATGCAACATGCGCTTAAAATGCTCTTCTCACTATCTTCAATTGCATCAATTGACAAAAGTAGTTATTTCATGTGAATTGTTAGATGACAGTGAGCTAATTAAATAATTTTTTTCTTCTTAATATTAAAAGAAAAATTTCAGATGGCACAAATTCTCAACTCACATAGTTATAGTTCACTCCCTATATAACGGATCTCTCTCTATTGCTATCTTTCTACGATGGATCTCTCTATAATAGATCTTACTCTATAAAGAAATAAGAGTTTAAGCTCGATTTATATAACCCATATATAAATCATTGCAGGCATTTTTTTGTAAGCCAAATGGGTCCATTATAGAGAGTGAACTATATATATATCACTTGATATTTATTAAGTAGTAAAGCCTAATATCAATAAAATTTGTTACTATGTGTATGTATATATCTATTCTTCAGATAGTTGTGATTATATTTAAATAATATATTATTATCCCACAATTATTGGATTTATTGTTTTTTTTATGGATCTTGTTCTTCCTGTACCACTCACTACCATCTAAGAATCGTTCCTATAACCACCTATTCTAGATGGTTACATTTTTGTAGAGTTATTCATAAATTACTAGTGCTTTTTTTTAACAAAAAAATTTTTTTGCATTTTAATGAAAAAAATATCCTTCTTTACTGGTGCATTAAAAAATATAACACAGCCTTGAAAATTTATTAAATATTTTTTCTTCTGATATAATTGGTGTATTATTGTTGCTTTATTGTTATTTACATATGAATAAAATGTAAAGGAAGAGCTTAATATGATAAATACGGGTCTGATTCATTTCGTTGACAGTCATTTCGTCGACACCCATTTCGTCGAAAGTTTGTTTCATCGAAAGTTCATTTCGTCGAAAATTATTTCGTCACAAAAATTAAACAAATTTCTCCTCACACTTCCCACACACCCCGATTTCCTCACCTAATTTCTTAACTAACTTCCCACGCTCCTCACATCTAACTCGTTCGGTCTCTGGCTCGAGGATGAAATAATTTTCGACGAAATGAACATTCGATGAAACGAACTTTCGACTGAACATTCGATGAAACAAACTTTCGACGAAATGGGTGCGACGAAGTAAACGCGACCGGGTGAACATTGATGAGTTCCGTACTTCCTCAGTCTGTTCTTTGTGTGATGGGTGGTTTGATAAGCATCAAAAATTCTGGTCTGTCAGAGTCTGCAAATCAGTCTGTCTGACACATTGGAATTGAGATGTTAATGCTGCCTGTAACATAAGGAACATTTTTTTGCACACAAACACTTATGGAGAGAGACCTGATCCATTTATAAGGGGGACTTACTGACCTCTCTGCTGCCATTTTAACTGTGGCAGGATATGTCTAGCTGGTGGCAGCAGCAGCAATGATGACTTTCTATGAAGCCACAATTAGCTATAGGGAGGATTTGGATCTTCCTGATTTAGTGTAATAAGGTTTACTTGTTAAGAGTTCAAAAACAATAGTAAACGTAAATACGTAATAGTAGAGCTTTTTTCAAACATCGCCAGCTATTATTATTATTATTATTATTATGGTCCCTTTTTTGTACGGACCGCATTTTAATATTTTCCCGATTAGTTTCGTATCAAAACAATGCATATCAATCAATATTAATATTAATATTAATATTAAAAAAATTTTTATTTTTTATTTTTTCCCGCATTTCGTGATACAAATAAAAGTTACCCAAAATTAGGAATTTCAGACAATAGAAGCCACACATACATATTACCTAATATTTGATTGATTATGCAGTATAATATAAATAGTAAAACATAGGTAAACAGAGTATGACGATGCATATTTTTTCCCAAAAAAATTAAAAAGAATGAATAATTTAGAGGATAATTTAGCACATTCCGGCGAAAGAGAAAAATTCATTAAAACTACTTATCGATCAAAGTAATTATATTATAATATAATAATTATTAACCAGTATTATTAAATCGTCATTTATGAACAACCCTAATATTAATAGAAGTTGGGTGATCAAAAGTATTGAATTAATGATGGAAAAATTATTATTTGATATTTCAATTGGTGAAGCACCAATTATTCCTTCAGTTTCAACTTTAAAAAGGAATGAAGATAATATTGTATTTGATTATGAAAATGGGATAATTAGGAGAAAAAATGAAAATATTAAAGAAATTAATTTCTTAAAGAATACAAAAAAATTTGCTATTTTTCTTAGAGTACTAGATATTTGTCATGAATTATTATCTAAAAACATTATAGCGACAAAACGGTATCATGATTTATTTTGTTATAAGTAGATTATTCCTAATTATTGGAAGAGGATCGTCATTATTTATTACTACTATTTATTTATTGTTATAGGGATATTTTTTATAAAGACGTCAAATTATTTGGCAATCAGAGCACCGTCGATATAGTAATTATTCAGGCATGAAATATCATGTATAAATATTAGGACAATTACTTATAATAATAATAAATGTTATTTAAAGGTTATTGATGAACTATCCTGTCTTTTTCAAATCCCAAGATCTTGTTTGAATGTGGTAAGAGACTAATCATAAAATTAGAAATTCATATAAATATCAAGCGTTAATTATTTGTTCAATAAGATAGCATCTGCTAAAGGGTTGGTTGCCGGTGATTTAAGAATATATCAAAATAATCAGATTTTATTAGATTGTTCAATAGATTCATTATCCAACGGAACTCTCATAAAATCAGTTGACCCTATAATAGAATATAATATCCTTTTATTTTTATTATTATTTAAAATCGGGTTTTTTATTATTTCTTAATGAAAATTTTAATAATAAACATATTGAAACTCGAGCAAATTTTGTTCTCGTCATAGAAAAAGAAGTGACTATCAATTAAACATAATATAATAATATTTTTATTATGAGAATATTATGAACTTACTTTAATATATTATGATTTAGGCTACTTTTCAATATTTATTATCAAACAGAATATTTCAAAAATTAGGCGCCTGTATACTGATTACTGTAAGTAAATAAAAATTGTTATTGCAACAATTATTATGACAATCATTCCATTAAAAATAAATCTCATATATATATTAATAATAAAATAATAGGGTAAAGGATATCCCGTAAGTTTAAAGTCTAGTCTAATTAAAGAAAAATATAGATTACATTACATTTTATTTAATTATTTAGGACATTGTTACTCGCCAATTAGTTAAGATATTGAGTAATCTACAAAAAAAAATTCCAATATTGGGATTTTTCGATAATGATCCGTACGGTAAAGAATTTTTAATTTAATATATAAATTATTAAAATTAATCATTTTTATGTTAATTATTAAATAAATTAGGAATTGAAATTCTAAGCGTTTATAAATTTGGTTCATTGGTAAACAATCTCAATGGTTTCAATAATGATGATTATATAATTATATATAATATAATGTTCATGAATCCATTAATTTCTATGATCCGTACGGTAAAGAATTTTTAATTTAATATATAAATTATTAAAATTAATCATTTTTATGTTAATTATTAAATAAATTAGGAATTGAAATTCTAAGCGTTTATAAATTTGGTTCATTGGTAAACAATCTCAATGGTTTCAATAATGATGATTATATAATTATATATAATATAATGTTCATGAATCCATTAATTTCTAGTCATTGTCGTTTGATAATGAAAATCTGGCAGCTCCAAATTTACGTTGGATCGGTTTACATTGTAATGATAGAGCACGGTATTTCTTGTTATATATACTATTACCGTATACATTTAATAATTAATAATTAACGAATAATTTTTATTTTCTTTAGTTTTAACATTTCCGAGGATACTTTACTTACAATCTCACCTGATGATAGGAAAAAAGCTTCTGATTTATTAGGAAAAAATTATTTACCGTATGAATGGAGGCAAATATCACCATCATCACATTATCGTTACTATCATTATCATATTGAAACGTTAATCTAATCGTGTTTCTGTTGTAGGAATGAAATTCTTGAAATTTTGCACACTTGCAAAAAGGCTGAAATACAATGTTTATGTGATAAAGATGACGATGATTTATTAAATTATTTGACATCAAAAATCAAACATCCTATTTCTTGGCTATAAATCAAAATACTTTGATAATAATGGTCACAGGAAATAACTTGCTATGCATTAAAAGTCGTCTAGATTATCTCTATATCCATATAAGCTAAAATTAAAACTTGTTCTAACTTCAAATTGAAACAGTTTTACTATATATATTCTCAAAATTAAATGTGTCCGTACTAGGGTAACCCCCGTACTCATGTATGCAATTTAAAAAAAAAAAAAAATATATAATGTCGTGGCTTTTATTGTTTGAGTTTCCAATTAAGTGTGTGCATTTCACTTTTCTCAAATAATATCAAACATCGGGCGAAATCAAACAAAACTCCCATATATAGATTATATCACAATAATTTGGTATAAAGTTTTTTAATTTAGTAGTTAAAATAAAAAAAATAAACGCAATTTCCCAATTAATATTATTCATTTTGTCAAAGCAAAATCCATATATAGATTAGATCAAATCAATAATTTTCTTATAAAAATACTTTCGAAAATAAATTTTTAAAAAAAATATTTCAATTATTTAAAATTAATAAAAATAAAATAATAAAATAATAATAAAAATAATAAAAATGTCATATTCTACTTTTTCAAGACGTGGTTATAAAAAACCCTCAACCCCTAGAGAATTCGCAAAAAGTGCAAAGAAACGGAATTCCGTTTTGTCACTCGGAAGCATTACTCATTTACAACATTTTTATGCGAAAAGAAATATAATAATTAAACCAAAATTACCAAAAAACATGTAAGCTTTATATATATTATATATTATGTATTATATCATATCATATAACAAATATATTTATTAATAAATATCATTATTAATATCGTTATTAGTGAAGAAGCCCGAATAAAGAAATTCTCAATAGATGCAAATATAAACATGCCTGACCTGTTACAAGTCACTGAAGAATTTGATGACGATTTTCCTCCCACTCCTATTCCCCCAATACCACAACCCACACTACCATATTTTTTAATGAATAAATTGGATGTTGAAGTTGATCCTGATGTACTTTTAGCAAATTGTCATGCTAACATTCAAGGAATAGTTGATGTCTGGCGTATCAATAAAACTGACGATTATGATAAATTAAATGAAAATATCGACACTTCAAAAGCAATTGAATCCACATCAATTTTAATAAAATCAGTAAAAGATTACTCGATGATAAAACAAGATATTTCTAACGAATCTCTTTCGATGCTTAGAGTTGCCACTTTAGAAGTTCTTGAAATGATAGACGATCTTGAGACTTCTATCAAAAATAATAACAATAACAATAATAGATCGTTGGCTAGACAACAAGAAATTATACAAAGATACATTCAAACAGTAGAAGATTACCTACTATTCGATAAAGATATTCATTTAAATACAGCATCATACTTGAAAAGATTTTCTTTAACTGACACCAGAAGAGACAGTGGTATTTCATTATCGACTCCTCCATTAACTCCCACATATAGGATTGACGATTCTTGGTTAGATTCTGAAAATTTCGGTGATGATAAATTAGGTAAATTTTTTTTCTATTGAAAGAAAAATATTCATTTTCCTTTCTTTTTTTTTTGTATTAATTTAATTAATTTATAAAAATAATTTTTTTTAGCTAGATATCACGCTTTTTTGGAAGCATTTGTACCATCAAAATTAAAACAATCACCTAATTATAAACCAATCCCAGATCCAAGAATTGATAAATCTGAATTTTTGAAATCATTATCGTAAGTAGTAAAATATATTGTATTCTATAAAAATAAATATTTTAATTTTTCTTTAAATCATAATCTTTACATTATTTTAAATAATATTTATTGTTTTTAGTGATGGCAGATTATTATGTAATATTTATAATACGATCGTTAAATATTCTAAACAACCCTTTGGATTTATTGATAAAATTCATGAAGATACATCAAGAACATATCGTGTCATAGAAAATCTAAACTTTTTTGCAACGTTAGTACTTCTTAGATTTTTTTTATAAATGATTTATAAAATATATTAATATATTAATATTTATATATAATCATTATTTTTTAGTGCTGTAAAATTACGATTCGATGTGAAATTTGAAGAATTCGATGTAAAAGAAATCAAAAATTTAACAGAAATCGGTGAAATTCATGTAAGTAATTTTTTTTTGATTAATTAAATTCTTGATGATTAATTCCTTGGTTTGTTTTTTATTAAGTTAAAGCCATACTTATTAATAAATTTTTTACTTTAAAAATTATTAGTTGGAAAAAGCTTTGGAATTATTTTGTGAAAAAGCAATGAATGAATCAATATCGACCGGATCACATCATAATCGAACAAATTTATCAAGATCTTCTTCATCATCACCTATTCGGCAAGAAACAAGTGATTCTAAATTATCCAAAGAAAATCAAGATTTAGCAACAGAAATTGGTGCTAAATTATCGACTTATTTAAATCAACAAAAAAATATATAATAATAATAATTCATTTAAAAATAATTTTATTAAAATTTAATTGTAATATTTTTTTTTAATTGTAATATTTTTTTTAATTGTAATATTTTTTAATAGAATGTAATTTTATATTTAAAACTTTTTTTAAAAATTATATTACCA